GAGATGTTCCAGTTGTTGTACCAGATACAGGAGATGTTTCTGTTGTTGTACCAGATACAGGAGATGTTCCAGTTGTTGTACCATATACAGGAGATGTTTCTGATGTTGTACCAGATACAGGAGATGTTTCTGTTGTTGTACCAGATACAGGAGATGTTTCTGTTGTTGTACCCGATACAGGAGATGTTTCTGTTGTTGTACCAGATACAGGAGATGTTTCTGATGTTGTACCCGATACAGGAGATGTGTTCTGTTGTTGTACCAGATACAGGAGATGTTTCTGTTGTTGTACCAGATACAGGAGATGTTTCTGTTGTACCAGATACAGGAGTTGTTGTTCCTGTTGTTGTACCAGATACAGGAGATATTTCTGATGTTGTACCAGATACAGGAGATGTTTCTGTTGTTGTACCAGATACAGGAGATGTTCCAGTTGTTGTACCAGATACAGGAGATGTTTCTGTTGTTGTACCAGATACAGGAGATGTTCCAGTTGTTGTACCAGATACAGGAGATGTTTCTGTTGTTGTTCCATATACAGGAGATATGTTTCTGATGTTGTACCAGATACAGGAGATATTTCTGATGTTGTACCAGACACAGGAGATGTTTCTGTTGTTGTACCAGATACAGGAGATATTTCTGATGTTGTACCAGATACAGGAGATGTTTCTGTTGTTGTACCAGATACAGGAGATGTTTCTGTTGTTGTACCCGATACAGGAGATGTTTCTGTTGTTGTACCCAATACTGGAGATGTTTCTGTTGTTGTACCAGATACAGGAGATGTTTCTGTTCTTGTTCCATATACAGGAGATATTTCTGATGTTGTACCAGATACAGGAGATGTTTCTGTTGTTGTACCAGATACAGGAGATATTTGTGATGTTGTACCAGATACAGGAGCTGTTTCTGTTGTTGTACCAGATACAGGAGATGTTTCTGTTGTTGTACCCAATACAGGAGATGTTTCTGTTGTTGTACCAGATACAGGAGATGTTTCTGTTCTTGTTCCATATACAGGAGATGTTCCTGTTGCTGTACCAGATACAGGAGATGTTTCTGTTGTTGTACCAGATGCAGGAGATGTTTCTGTTGTAGTACCAGATACAGGAGATGTTTCTGTTGTTGTACCAGGTACAGGAGATGTTTCTGTTGTTGTTCCATATACAGGAGATGTTTCTGATGTTGTACCAGATACAGGAGATATTTCTGATGTTGTACCAGATACAGGAGATGTTTCTGTTGTTGTACCCGATACAGGAGATGTTTCTGTTGTTGTACCAGATACAGGAGATGTTTCTGTTGTTGTACCCGATACAGGAGATGTTTCTGTTGTTGTACCAGATACAGGAGATATTTCTGATGTTGTACCAGATACAGGAGATGTTTCTGTTCTTGTTCCATATACAGGAGATGTTCCTGTTGCTGTACCAGATACAGGAGATGTTTCTGTTGTTGTACCAGATGCAGGAGATGTTTCTGTTGTAGTACCAGATACAGGAGAAGTTTCTGTTGTTGTACCAGGTACAGGAGATGTTTCTGTTGTTGTTCCATATACAGGAGATGTTTCTGTTGTTGTACCAGATGCAGGAGATGTTTCTGTTGTAGTACCAGATACAGGAGATGTTTCTTTTGTTGTACCAGGTACAGGAGATGTGTCTGTTGTTGTTCCATATACAGGAGATGTTTCTGATGTTGTACCAGATACAGGAGATATTTCTGATGTTGTACCAGATACAGGAGATGTTTCTGTTGTTGTACCCGATACAGGAGATGTTTCTGTTGTTGTACCAGATACAGGAGATGTTTCTGTTGTTGTACCCAATACAGGAGATGTTTCTGTTGTTGTACCAGATACAGGAGATATTTCTGATGTTGTACCAGATACAGGAGATGTTTCTGATGTTGTACCAGATACAGGAGATATTTCTGATGTTGTACCAGATACAGGAGATGTTTCTGTTGTTGTTCCATATACAGGAGATGTTTCTGATGTTGTACCAGATACAGGAGATGTTTCTGATGTTGTACCAGATACAGGAGATGTTTCTGTTGTTGTACCAGATACAGGAGATATTTCTGATGTTGTACCAGATACAGGATATGTTTCTGTTGTTGTACCAGATACAGGAGATGTTTCTGTTGTTGTACCAGATAAAGGAGATGTTTCTGTTGTTGTACCCGATACAGGAGATGTTTCTGTTGTTGTACCAGATACAGGAGATATTTCTGTTCTTGTTCCATATACAGGAGATATTTCTGATGTTGTACCAGATACAGGAGATATTTCTGATGTTGTACCAGATACAGGAGATGTTTCTGTTGTTGTACCAGATACAGGAGATATTTCTGATGTTGTACCAGATACAGGAGATGTTTCTGTTGTTGTACCAGATACAGGAGATGTTTCTGTTGTTGTACCCGATACAGGAGATGTTTCTGTTGTTGTACCAGATACAGGAGATGTTTCTGTTCTTGTTCCATATACAGGAGATGTTCCTGTTGCTGTACCAGATACAGGAGATGTTTCTGTTGTTGTACCAGATGCAGGAGATGTTCCTGTAGTTATACTAAATACAGGAGAAGTTTCTGATGTTGTACCAGATACAGGAGATGTTTCTGTTGTTGTACCAGATGCAGGAGATGTTCCTGTAGTTATACTAAATACAGGAGAAGTTTCTGATGTTGTACCAGATACAGGAGATGTTTCTGTTGTTGTACCAGATACAGGAGATGTTTCTGATGTTGTACCAGATACAGGAGATGTTTCTGTTGTTGTTCCATATACAGGAGATGTTTCTGATGTTGTACCAGATACAGGAGATGTTTCTGATGTTGTACCAGATACAGGAGATGTTTCTGTTGTTGTACCAGATACAGGAGATGTTTCTGTTGTTGTACCAGATACAAGAGATGTTTCTGTTCTTGTTCCATATACAGGAGATATTTCTGATGTTGTACCAGATACAGGAGATGTTTCTGTTGTTGTACCAGATACAGGAGATGTTTCTGTTGTTGTACCAGATACAGGAGATGTTTCTGTTGTTGTACCAGATACAGGAGATGTTTCTGTTGTTGTACCAGATACAGGAGATGTTTCTGATGTTGTACCAGACACAGGAGATGTTTCTGCTGTTGTACCCAATACAGGAGATGTTTCTGTTGTTGTACCAGATGCAGGAGATTTTTCTGTTGTTGTACCCGATACAGGAGATGTTTCTGTTGTTGTACCCGATACAGGAGATGTTTCTGTTGTTGTACCCAATACAGGAGATGTTTCTGTTGTTGTACCAGATACAGGAGATGTTTCTGTTGTATTGGGTACAGAACTTGATTCTAATGTTCCTGTTAAAGGAGAAGATGTGCTTGCATTTACAGTGCAAACTGTTTGTATTCTAAGGTAGGAACCTATAAATATAAGAGATGTTTTGTTATTATTCTTAATAGTATTGTATTTGATTATATAGTGTTCAGTACCAGCATCAGCCACAACTAGCATAACCTAAAGACTGTACATTTTTCTTATTGATCATTACACTTTTGCTACATCATTGCTTTTTAATTCTCCCTTTTCTTCAAACCAATTATAAGCTAAAAACCCTCTTATGAAATTCAATGAGATAAATTCTTACCCCTATACTGTATGTCAATCTCTTTTTTTCTGACAGGTATATGCTACATGCACAGGTGGAAGTTACAAACTGACCCTGAACCTGATGTGTAAAGTAAAAAAAAATTATTCTTCTGAATGATGTTATATGTGCTATAGAGTCTCTCAGTCTACTTCTCATTATTTACCTACCAAAAAAAAATTAAAAACAGCCGACAGAGAAGTTTTACAGTTCAGCTCTTTTACCCTAAATTAGATGTTTCTTCCATTAATATAATGTGTACTGGAAATAAGCTATTTTACACTAAAGAGTTAATTGTGTTTCTACGGTATAAATACTGTACTTAGCATGAGGGTTGTGGAAATTATCTTGGCTAACTTAGTGTACTTGGAGATACTCTGGAGGTAGACTGAGGTATACAGGATACCAGAGGCGACTCTCTAACTAGGCGACTTAAGTAGTCGCCTAAGGCCTTGCGCTTACTGGGGCCTCACTGCCGCCTAAATCGCCATAAGGCAGTCTTATCGTGTCCTCAATCCACTACACATATGGAGGAGGAGCGACGGCTTACCATGTATGATGCTACATGCAGGGCCCCTTTGTTTAGTCTGCCCTGGTGGAGAACACTCATTCCCTCTGCTGGGTACTGAGGTTGTAAATCCTTCACAATCTCTGGTCATTTAGAGCATTGAAACTTCTGACACTTCTGGATCTCACAAGACACTTACCATGTAGTCAGCAGCTCTGCAGCTGGCGGAGCTGCAGATTGAATATTAAGGAGAGAGGGAGCCTACCGGACAGCCAGGGAATTAGTGTAAAAAGAAAATGAAGGTTTTTCAGTGTGGGTAGGCTGCTCGCTAAAACACAACCTCCCCACACACTATAGTCCCATCTTCCAGCTATTCCCTTTCACACCCTCCCAAACACACTGCCTCCAATCCCCACCATGTCACCACCACAGACACATGCTGTCACCCATGCACCCTGTAACCACCACACATGCCCTGCCACCTACCCACACACTAGGTCAAACCCTCTGCAACTGCCGATGTTGGCAATCTCTTCTGAAGGATGCAAGCATCCCAGAGGCCTGTCATGGCCTCGCCATCCACTGGGTTATCCCAATCGTCAAGCGAGACATCCTTCACTGGGGACTGTGGCGTGGGGGTCATTGTTTTCAGAGACCACAGCTTACCACCCCAGCCTGCATGGAAGCCTCCGGTCACAGAAGAGACTCTGAGGGGTCTTTTGGATGACCTCCACAGAAATATCTTGGCTGACATCAGCTAGTTCCTTGATGAGATTAATAGGGTCTCTGCTTACCTGCACAACAGAGATGTGAATACTGCTGCTCATGAGCAACGGATCCCGAATCTGGAGCAAGGAATGCAGGCACTGCAGCACTCCCAAGTCCAGACTCAAGAGCACATGGCATCTATGGAGGAGATGAGGCGCTGGAAGAATATCAAAATGCGTGGTCTACCTGAAACCATGGAGGCTGTTCCATATTTCTTCCGACGATTACTCACTTACCTTTTTTCTGTCAAGCAAGCCAAGGGAATGCCTCTGCATGGATGGTACCGGATACCCAAAATGGCCTCCAGCACTCCAGAGACAAGAAGGGACGTTATAGTCCGATTCCAACAGAACCTGGACAGACTGTTGTTTATGGCGGTGATCCGCAGTAAGTCTCCACTACGCTTTGAAGGCGCTTTTATCCCGACTGATCCATAGCCACTATGGAATAGAGCAGATCCCTGCAGCCACTCACCAAGGAACTAATTACTCATAAGCTACAATACAAATGAGGACCACCACATTGCCTACAGATTGCTTGGGGACACTGGCATGATAAAGGTCACTGGTGCTTCGGAAATTACACCCACACTGCAGAAGCTTGGGTTATCTGCCACCCTTACTGAGCCTACCACTTCTCTCCGTGCAACAGGACCAATAACCTGGGACCCTGAGAGGGTTCACCCATTTGTACCAGCATCTCAGAAAGGAGATCCTGCATCCACATTGATATTGTGAATGTCTTGCAAGCAATTTTTGGTTTTATGTTTTGATTTAATTTTTGTTACTTTTTATTCACGATAGTACTTCCCTTGGCACACACAGTGTTCCTGTATATAAAGTTTAGTGCCTTACTATACCTTTTCCTGCTGGCCCTCAGGGGCTACTCACCCACTTTACTCTCCCTCCCTCCACACCCACTGGATTTTACTTAGATTCGTCAGATATACCAATTATGTGTGAGTGTCTCAGCCTCACTACTAAAGGCTATATGTGCCTCGCTTCCTGATATAGTTAATGAGGCATTTACAGCTTCTCACACCCTCTTGCCACCACGACTGACCTAGCATTTTATATAGGAGTTGACAGCTAATAAGTACACTTTTGTTACAGACAGTTTATTATATTTTACTTGTTTACTTGTCTTATTCAAAAAATCTGTCTGTAGCATTTATGTCACAATAATATGTTTTCTCAATGAAAAACCTGTTGTCGCTGTTGTGGTCCGACAAGCCTGTTTGTAATCCTAAGCACTGAAAATAAAGATTGACAAAAAAAAAAAGATTGAGGAAGATAGACATATCTAAAATATTAGGCAGAAAAATGTGAAGCACATTATAAGAGCTTCCAAAGCACACACAAGAGAGAAGATAGACCAGTCAGTAAAAAAGGGAGACCAAACACTTTTTAAATACATAAATGAGAAAAGGAAAGTAAAACAAGGATTAGTTAGACTAAAAAAAAAATTAAGGAAGGTATGTAGAAGAGAATAAAGGTATAGCTTACTGCTACAATTAATATTTTTGTTCAGTATTTATAGATAAAAAAAAAGAAGGAAAAGGATCTCTGTTAGAGTTATATGTGAGCGTTTACAGAGGAAGAGGTTCTATTCCAGGTGTCTAAAGTAAAAACAAATAAGTTGATGGGGCCTGATGGAATACAACCAATATTATTAAAATAACTTAGTGGTTTACTAGCAAAACCATTAACAAATTTGTTTAACCAATCATTATTAACAGGTGTAGTCCCAGAAGATTGGAAAAAGAAGCCACAGACATTAAGCACTGTGGCATATATTTATGGTGGAAATGAGTTAATCTGTTTTGTCTACGATTTGAATGTGAGGAATTTTAAATCTTGTGGTAGTCGATCAGTTAGACAGGTATCTGGGCAGAATTGATGATATAGCTGTTTCTGGGGGCTGAAGCTGGCATGGGATTGGTTAGAAGTTGCAAGTAGAAAAAGAGCGGGAAACTGGAACAGTATAAAAAGAAGCAGCACAAGTTTAATCCTCTCAGAGTGGACTGAAGCAGGAACGGTGCGGACAGACTCTCGGAAACTTCATGACTTCAGAAGATTTAATGTTAAAGGGTCACTCCACACCCCCTAGGCAACTTTAGATTGTTGAAACACTTTATGTGTGAAGAGCAGACAGCAGTGCAGTGTCCGTTTAACCCCTTCCCGACCTTGGACATGCAGGGTACATCCAACAAAAAACGGCAGTTAATGACCCGGGTACTCACCTGGACCAGGGATATTTGGCAATTCCGGTCCAGGGGGATTGCCCGAGAATCCAGCAGTCCCCCTGCTGCAGCTTCATCCTATCCGGCCTTCCAGGGCCATGTAATCACCATGATCCGATGGCTGCAATGGATGTCTATGGAGCTGCCAGCAGGGGGACTGGTACCTAAAATAAAAAAAAATAAAAATATATATATATATATATATATTAAATAATTTTATAATATATTATGCATATATATTGCATATATATGATTGCATTGTAAGTGTTCTTTGAGATATATACACCAGGAAACCAGGGGAGTGAGGTGCGACTTGGTAGATCGCGCCTTTCACCATTAGTGCTAAGATTTCCCTCGACATGAGTTCCCTGTCATGTGGGGTAAACACCATCCGCCGTGGCACTGCGGCGTGGCACTGCGGATTGAATTGGGGTTTATGTTTTACCCTAAAACTTTGTTGAGAATCCAGGCATCGGACATGAGCCTGCACCATGCCCTGGTAAATTGGGATAGTCTGCCCCCCACATATGATATACAAGAAGGGGGAAAAGGAAGAGAACTTACCATAAGGCCGTCGGCCGTACGTGGCGCCCCGGTGTCCTCTGGGTTGCCATGCTCTGCCCCTGACTGGAAAGAAGGGTGAGGGATTTCTGGACTCTGTCTGTGGGAATCTCGATGTAGTGGGGCCTCGGAAGCCCTAGCAGGAGCCCCGTGATGGGCGGCTGGACAGATGGCCCCGGTGTCTGCCAGCCCCCCCAAAAACCTTTGGAGAGAACACTCTCTTCAAATTTGTTTGCGCCTTGTCCAGAGCTGTAAATGTGCTCACATAAGTGCCCAACTCCTGTACGAAATTGTCTCTGAAAAGGAGGCCTTTTTTCTGTGGTCCAGGCTCAGATATGGCCATATTGACCAATTTTGGGTCAATCTTCATGAGGATTGCTTTACGCCTCTCTGTACTTAGCGCAGAGTTGGAGTTGCTGATGAGGCCAATAGAGCGCTGAGCCCACTCTCGGATAGCCAAGAGGTCTACTGGTGTGCCATTGAGAGTGCAGCTTCGACCATGTCGAAAATTTTTGTGCTGGGGCCCAAGGAGTCAACACCTTGTCCTGGCAGTGGCGCAGGAAGTAATCTAGCCCTTTCTTGGCTTTCCACACAGCTTTTCCCAGGAACTGGGCAATTTTAGGGTCAACAAGCCATATCGGGGACCATCGGGCGTGGGCATTCCCCCCTAAGTTTATTCCTGGTGGTTTTATCCAGGGGTTTTCTAATCCTGGCCACTATGTATGGGGCCACATGGTCAGCTGCTATGTATTGGGCCACATGGTCAGACCTAGGGTGCTGTAGGTCGTCCAGGTTAAATAGGGGTTCGCCCTGCGGGTCTAGAATGATGGAATCATCCCCGGCCACCTTACCAGTGGTGGCTGGTTTTACTGCCAGGCTGCGCTCAGGAGAAGAGTTCTCCAAGTCAATAGAGCCGATTTCTTCTGACTCGCTCAATACCTCCTCAGGGTCCGAATCAGAGTCGGAAGGGATGAGGGACATCAATATATTTATTTAAATTAAATAAAATAAAAAAAGTCTCCCTACCCTCCTTCCCCCCAATACAAACACTGCCCCCATACACACACTACACACTGCACTACACACACTGCCCCCATACACACACTACACACACTGCCCCACAAACACTGCCCCCCATACACACACTACACACACTGCCCCACAAAACACTGCCCAATACACACACACACTACACACACTGCCCCCATACACACTACACACACTGCCCCACAAACACTGCCCCCATACACACACTACACACACTGCCCCACAAACACTGCCCCCATACACACACTGCCCCATACACACACACACTGCAACTCTCACACACACTGCAACTCTCACACACACTGCCACTCTCACATACACACTGCACCGCTCACACACACACAAACACACACACACTGCAGCTCTCTCACACACACACACTGCCCCACACATACACTGCCCCTAACACACACTGCAACCCTAACCTACACTGCCGCCCTCACGCACTCGCACACACACTTCACCGCTCACATACACACTGCACCTTTCACACACACTTCACCCCTAACACATACCACTGCTCCTATGCCCTATATCCCAGGAGACCCCAGGTAAGTTGTCAAACTGTTCTTAAACTGTTTGACTACTTACTCTGGGATGGGATCCTGGCACTACTGGCGCCATAACTACTACACTGAGCTGTAGTGGTTATTGTGCCTGGATTATTTCTTTAAATAATCTACAAGTGCCCCTCCTGAGATCAGGCTCTGGATCCGCCACTGGCTATGCTAGATATAAGATAAGGCCAGAGACTAATGGAAGTGTTTAGAAAATTGAGCAGACTAGATGGGCTGGATGGCTCTTAATTGCTGTCACATTTTATGCTTTGATGTTTCTATGACACAGCAGTTCAAACACCTGTATACTTATGGCCTGGGAGGCATTTGTCAATTGCCCCTGCATTTCATCATCTGAGCATAAAACCGTTATTGATATTTACACAGAAAAGCTTTATCTCTCTTTTTTTTTTTTTAAAGGTATGAAACCACGAATGGCAGATGACATGCAAGGTGCTTAACTAGCACAATTGGTAAAGGCACTGGGAAAGCCCTCACACATTCTCAGTCTGCTAGAAACGAAGTACTTGGCCATCAATATATTCAGTAAAGTTCACTTTTAACATTTTCTCTAGTTTTCTACACAAATAAATATGCAGGAATAACCAGAGGTATGTGTACCTTATTTCTATATATGGGGCATACACCTAAACAGCTACACATAAATTGAAACACAGGGACCAATATGTGAAGCCATCGGAACTGAACCAAATTAGCCCCAGTTTGAAACCAAATGGCTGTAACAATTCAGCAAGTTGTCCTATATTCCAGCTTTCTCTGCATAACAGGCACACAAATCAAGGATGTGAAAGTATCTTGTTCTGGTGTAGCAAGGTATTTGGTGTATTTCGGGCACTAAATATGAATTACTTATGATAAACAACAGGGACTTCACACATAGATTTCTAACACAGTAGGCAATGCAATACGTTGCATAGTGTATTTCTTTAATGGAGGATCCCAGATCTCTCTATTATTCTACTGCTGTGCAATGCCATGCAATGTGGGTTTAGGTATATCACAAAACAAT